CAGAGACACCTGGACACGTCTCCAGTCTCCATCAGGGACACAAAAGGGACAAATAACCATCCACACTCTGAAACCTTCTGGAGATCTTCTGTGTGACTCTAGATGTGACAAACTGAGAACTCTGGACTCAGATCCATCTGGTGCTGCACAGAGTTCTAATCACTTATTATCAATAATAATTAAATAAATAAATAAACTACTATTGATAATTATCAGGATGAGTCCTTAACTTTAGGATGTAATTAGGCAATTAAATATTCACAATGTAAATTTATTACTATAAATGAATGTGATTCATGTAAAATTATGTTTTTATAAAATGAGTACACCCCACCCACACAACCCCCCCACCCCAAGACCAATTTCTTAGGGGAAACACTGTTATGTGTATTACAAGATATGTTAGAACAATGCAGAAGAAACAAAAACAAGTGTGAAAACTTGGAGCAGTTGAATGGAAAAATATGCAAGTACCAAAACRGCAATTTTTTATTTATATTACAAAATTAAAACAATGCTGCTATCAGTTTCATCTCCCTTTTTTTTTGCTCTGTAAAAAAACACAACCACACCATAAAATCAAAGCTAGTCTAAATAAAGTGGCATAAACAAAACAAAATGTGTGCATATGTGCATGTGTTTAAACAAAACTAAGTCCAAGTTTAGAACACACAGAGAGGTAAAGACAACAGAGGATGTACTCTTTTCCCTTCAGTGGACCACAGAGTGTGCGTCACATGAGGCCTATTTGCAGCAAATTTGTGTGCACTTTAGGCACAAAGTGTGCTCTGAATTGAATGTTTGACTTACACATTTTCCACACGGATCCTCTGGTAATCAGACAGAATGGCCCCTACAGACACTGCCTCGACACCCTCCTTTTCCTGTAGAGACAAAAAGACAGAGGAAACTGGGTTTTTTCCCACCTTATTTATTACAGCATAAACAACAGACAGTATCTCAGTATGACAGGTTTCTCAACTTGTATTTATGGTATTATATGAACAATACCATGCAACTACACACATCAGAAAGGAAGACAGAAAAAACAGATTCCTGACAGCTCGTGCCTTTCATTGGACCTTATTCCTGTTGGGATGTTTACACTCTGGTCCTATCAAGGCCCCTCTGGTCCAGCCCATATCCCCTGGAGGCTTGCACACACATCTCTCAAAGTATGTGTGTGTGTGTGTGTTTGCCTTCCATTTGTGTGTTACTGGAAGCACAAGAACTGCCAGAGGTGATTTCTGCACCTTTTTAACAGCTGGACTAAGTAGGAGGCCACAGCKCTTGTCTTCTGCACACCCAACCGAAAGATCAAGACACAGTGACAATCCAAAGTATCAGCTGTACATCATAGATTTTTAATAATGCTTCAGGCTGATATAATTGCTTTTCACTTTATAATTAATTTTAAAAAACAATGGGATAACAACACACTTGGGAGTTCCTCATACAACCTAGAAATGCAATCAATCTTTGTACACCAAACACGCTTGATCTAAAAAGGTACACAAAACCAAAAGACAGTTCCATGCTGATGCAACTACATTCCGTACTTGCTCTTAAACGCCTCTGCCCCCCCCCCACCCCACACACACACACACCTGCAGATTCATTAGAACATTACATGGACTGTAATTAGAATGAGAGGCAAGGGTAGGAGCAGTGGAGGGATGCCCGAGTCTCCAGTAAATTACCTTGTAGCCATTATCAATTTCCCTGGCTACTGGTCCTTAAGATAACCCCCCGCCCCTCCCTCTCCCTGTGGTCCCTTCCTGCAATTTTTCTCTGCCTGATAAACATGCTGATTAAAGCGAACACGGTGTAAACCTTTGATACTTTCCTAAATGAAATCCATGCCCTGCCTCAGGCCTGACGCTGAGCTGAAACGCACAGCGCCTCATGCACACAAACACACATAGGCGTTTCAGCTAATCAGATAAAGGATGTGCTCTATGTGTGTGTGTGTGTGGGGGGGGGGGGTGAGAGAGAATGTGTGCAGCAGCATATGTGTGAGCTGCCTCCACTGTACACCAAGGATGAGTGGTATAAATCTAAACACATCCAAACAAGCCCCATCAGAAATTAACTCTTTGACCCAAGTTAACTACGAAGGTGTCTTAAGAAGGGATTTTCCTCAAGTTTTAATATCTCTCCTGTGAGTCACAGACCGAAACATACATTAGAGCCTATTCCATTGCACGGTGACAGTAATTAAGTCAGACTGATAACATTTCAGTCTAGCATAGAGCAAAAGGGGGCTGCAGGCTGTGTCATGTAATTTGAGGTAAGCCTCGAGGAAAACACTCTATTCTAATACAATGATAACCTTTTCTCTAAATGCAACTGTCACTCTCTAAAGAGGCAAATTAGGAGGTAAAGAGTGGAATAAGGACAGACAGAGAGAAAGTGGCAAAGATTTACAAATTAGAGAGTTGAAGGAGTGTGCAACATCAACACCAATTTAGTCCTTTGGCTTTAAACTTGGCAGGACCTGACAGGAGCATCAGAGCATCAGATCAACAACAAATAACAGCTTATTTGTGTGTTTTTACTCTTTCTGTCTCCCTCTATCTCCTTTCTCTCAGAAGGCAGACTCTTGTAGGTACTTGGACCTCTAAAGTTGAACTTGTCTAATTAAATGGCTCGTCTTTTTGTTCTGGTTCTCATTACATCCTATCACACGAGCATATACCCCCACATAGCCTGCTAAACGCTAATGATAACATTAGATAAATATCTCATCCTCCCTTTACTTGCAATGGAGACTCTTGGTACTAAAACATTTGGCAACAGCTTTGGGAAATAATTACTTTTGGATGTGGTGATGTTTTTTTTATTTTTTGTTATTATAGCTACCAATAATAGACAGGCAAAAATGAGGAGACAATTACTACTGCTCTGATTATTACCTCCGCCAAGGGGAGGAGGTAATGTTTTCGGTCGCATATGTCTGTCTGTCTATCTGTCTGTCGTTCTGTTTGTGGACAAAATTACTCAAAAACGTGTGGACGGATTGTCATGACATTTTTATCACATGTGGGTACTCGCCCAAGGAACACACCATTAAATTTTGGTGATGTTCCCGATCACGATGAGGATACAGGAATTTTTTTTATTGTTAATTCAAGCAAATCAGTAGGGCTATGCAGTGTCTTTACATCAGACGCATAGCTGTATGAAACAGGAAGTACAAGTCGCAAACTCGCTGAGACTACACATCCCAGGATGTCTACTATCACGAAAGTTGCGATTATTCTGTTATCAACTAGTTCTGGCGATGTTACATGCTGTCTGGAGACGTACAAATAGAAATGCGATTCTCTTCATGTTACGGGAATAACAGAACACACCGACAGCGGGACGAGGGTCCTGCTGCAGCTTAAATGTTCGCTACATCAGAACTTATTCTGCAAATGTGTTTTCATCTCTGCTTTTGCACATTAACTCTTACAGGATGGGGGAAACTGGTCTTGGCGGAGGTTTGCACTCTCCGAGTGCTTCTAGTTATTTTACAAATTCAAACTCTACACTTTTTTGTTGGCGGGGGTGGGGGTAGGATGAATTATTAAAAAGGAGTACATCTGAATTGATAGATATTTTGGCAATCTCTCCAACTGTATTCATACTGCCATAAAAAGAACAGAGTTTGATTTTATAGTGGTTTAAAAATATGGTTTAAAGTGAAAATATGTGACATGGCAACACTGTAGCTAATAAAACCTTGTATAATAACAGGGAATAATAAAAACCTTTCCGAGAGCTATCTGACTAAATAATGTTTTGCCTGCATCAGAGGTAGGATTTGGGTAATACGATGATAAATCAAGGCAGAGGTCTTCATAAGGACAACAAACCTCTCTTTTGTCTAGACTGTTGGCACAAAATATGAGGAAAGAGCCTGCCGCCCTGATTCCATGTCACTTTTCCTTTTTTATGTTAAATGACCCTTGTTCATTAAAAGTAGCCTTACCTGGTCCAAGACTTGGGGCCCCACATGAGCTCTTCTCCATAGAGGGACTAATTCTGGCATGGTGTTGTGCAAATGGTCCAAAGCCCTAGCAGCTTCATCAGAGGCAGACTAAACAAAAGCACTGCCTGGCTTCCCCTGTCCTCTCCAACAGGCAGAGAAGCTATTAATGAGGATCTATGGCCTGAAGCAATGGAAGTCCTTAGTCCCCCCAGCTATGTCCATCATGGTACTTAGCCCCATGCAGTCATTAACTTCTGTTACTAATTGTCAAATTCATTAAACTAATCCTTCCCCCACATCCGGATGTCTCCTGTGGAAATGGATGGAGAGGGCTGAGTTATTAAGATGTCAGCTGTGGAGAAGATTAAGGCCAGCAGACATGCTCCACAAAGAAACGATACGGCCATTAAACTCTATATCAAGGTAGTGTGAGTGATATATTTTGTAATTATATATGCATTCATCTTTGTAAGGGAGTAAAGGACTGTTTCAAGTGTATGCACAGTCACAGACATGCCTTCAGTCAAGAAATGTATTTGTGCCAAAGATACAGTAGACAAAAATCGTAAAGAAAAGAATTTGACTCAGTTCTCAGCTCTCAGCTTTAAAAAGTACTTACACTTGCTAGATTTTCACCCAGGGTAATGTTTAACAGTCAAAGTCATTAACGGCAACCAAGGCAATTAGAAAGCCATAAAATATTTAAAACTCAATATTCATATTCATATGGAATACATCAGAACCCTCATTAATGCTCTTTCAATGGCTGTCACAGTGAGGTCCTAATTATACACCCTAACAATACAAAGCTCCAATTTGCAAAATGGTGGTTTTCCAAAATGCTTGCTTCAGTCTATCTTGAAAAGTAAGAGCTCAAAGCTGCCAGGTTGTACCTATTACAACCAAAAGGCCATTAATTTCCATTACAAAATGCTCCTTTTAGAAAGTTCAAAGTTGTTGAATGTACAATATGTTGTATTTTATAAATCAACTCTTGTATGGAGTGTGTTTGCTGTGATGGCAGGGAGGTGGACAAGGTAGGAATTTTAATTAAAGTGCTTTATATGACAGTTTGCTCAAGGGCACCAGGGTACCGTCTTATCCTTTCCATTGCAGCAATCACAACATCACATTATCACCATGCCTGACCCTAAAGCCTTCAATCATATACCCCCTCGTCTTCCACATTTCACTCCATCTCCCACCCCTCCTTTCCTGGATCCATCAAGTAAGTGACTGGATGGGACATGGTTTTAATGTTCTCTGCATTAGCTCAGCTCTGGGTCTGTTGTAATGTAATGGGATTGTTCWCCTGTTTGCCAGCATGTTGAGAACATGGAGAAGGGGCTGTTGTAGCAGCTGAAGTAAATGCAGTACAGGGATAAGGCCTGCTAAGGTCAAGTGATAATGTTTAATGTAACTCTGACATGATCCTGGGGCATGTTGGGGTACCCTGACAGCTGAGTTTAGGCACCAAAATGAAAGGAAGCTCAGTCTGARCTACCGTAAGTAGGAGAGGACTACCTATTTGTTCCTTATCATTATGTAAGTAATTTTATTTTCAAACATACACCACAAAAAGTACCCAACCCACATGGGCTTATAAGACACACAAACATATTCAAAAGTGCAGACAGAGGCCAATCAACATTCTTTAAACATAAAATGTCTTCTTTCTAACAGGCCAGGCTTTAAAAATAATCTGAGCTAACTGAAACACAAAATACTTAAATAATAATAACAATTATGTATTGTAGAGTACATAAGAGGAATAAGAAGAGGAAAAGGAAGCACAAGATTGCAATTAGGGCTGTAGTGAAAACTTATCATTGTAATATATTGTACGCAACATAACACATTTAAAAATAACACATTTGGCAATCAAGACAGTTTCTCATTTGGCTATCA